TCCTGAGCCTGACTGGGGATGGTTGCAGGACCTGGGAATATACCAGAAACACTTGCAGTGGGTGAATTGGATGGAATGTGAAGCATGTTCAATAAAGCTGTTACAAATTAAAAAGAGGAAAAAAGAAAAAAGTGTTTGAAAGAAAAACAAGACTGAAAATCCAGACTGAGATTCATGTTTCTTAGAATATCTAAGTGAAATACATGAAAAAGTACGATACACAAAACTAAAACACAGAAGACAAAGTAGGAAATGCCTGCCACACATGGGAATACCTGTGAACACTAAAGAATACTTCCGAATCCGCAACGAGGAGCAAAGGACCTTAGCAGCAGGTTCACCGAAAAGGAAAGTCAAGCACACTCAGAGTCACAAAGGAACAAAGTCAAAGTAGTGTTTCAATCGATGAGTGAACACACAGGGAAGACGGGGTGAGGACGGGCAGGAAGCCATCCCGCTGTGCCTCTGGGTGTGGGGTGGCCCTGCCCCCAGAGGGCAAGTCTGCCGCAGGCATGAAACTCTAAGATGCCCCCAGAACTCTGTTGAGAGCTGGACCCCAAAATGTCACCAAACACCCATGCACGGGAGGGAGTGGCCGCCCACACAGAGCCTGCGCCTCCCCTGCTTGAGGCTCAAGAATCTGGTGAAAGGCAGGGCTCCCAAAGTGGGCGCCTGGTGAGGGCTGGGTGAGCACCCTGATAAAGTAGTTCAGGACTCCTAGGCAGGGGTTCTGAGTCTAGAGGTGTAAACGGATGTCTCCTGGTTTTCACTGAAGAGCGGATGGGTCTTTCACAAAGTTCCTGCAAACCTCCTGGAAGGGTCAGGCCGTGGTGGGCGGGGGAGTAGAAGCACTGATCACATGGACAAGGAGCCCATGGCGGGTGGACGGCGAGGGTTCCCAGGTGTCCCCAGCTCTGTGCCTCCGGGCGCACGTCCCACTGGAAGATGCTGGCCACAACACAGACGGGAGCAGCCCGACGCCTGCTCATACACAGGTGGCCATACAGTGGGCACATCCACATCTAGGTCCTTCAGGAAGCGCACGGCAGAAAGGGCTGCCTCCGAGAGAACTCTACACCCCGCACTTCCTTCACGGGGTAGAAACATGAGCTTAGGAGCCATCAGTCTACTCTGCTGGACCCCACAGGGGAACAGGTGACCAGGAGCCGAGGACACCCCTCTGCCTTCCTGGGTTCGGCACACTGCCCAGAGGAGTCACCCAAAGGCAGCTGGAGAGGAAGCCTAGCAGGGAGATGTGCCCCAGCAGAGAAGCTATAACCCTGATCACA